CCTGCCTGCCTATCCACACACAGTAACCCTCCTGCCTGCCTATCCACACACAGTAACCCTCCTGCCTCCACACACAGTAACCCTCCTGCCTGCCTCACACACAGTAACCCTCCTGCCTGCCTATCCACACACAGTAACCCTCCTGCCTGCCTATCCACACACAGTAACCCTCCTGCCTGCCTATCCACACACAGTAACCCTCCTGCCTGCCTATCCACACACAGTAACCCTCCTGCCTGCCTATCCACACACAGTAACCCTCCTGCCTGCCTATCCACACACAGTAACCCTCCTGCCTGCCTATCCACACACAGTAACCCTCCTGCCTGCCTATCCACACACAGTAACCCTCCTGCCTGCCTATCCACACACAGTAACCCTCCTGCCTGCCTATCCACACACAGTAACCCTCCTGCCTGCCTATCCACACACAGTAACCCTCCTGCCTGCCTATCCACACACAGTAACCCTCCTGCCTGCCTATCCACACACAGTAACCCTCCTGCCTGCCTATCCACACACAGTAACCCTCCTGCCTGCCTATCCACACACAGTAACCCTCCTGCCTGCCTATCCACACACAGTAACCCTCCTGCCTGCCTATCCACACACAGTAACCCTCCTGCCTGCCTATCCACACACAGTAACCCTCCTGCCTGCCTCTCCACACACAGTAACCCTCCTGCCTGCCTATCCACACACAGTAACCCTCCTGCCTGCCTATCCACACACAGTAACCCTCCTGCCTGCCTATCCACACACAGTAACCCTCCTGCCTGCTTATCCACACACAGTAACCCTCCTGCCTGCCTATCCACACACAGTAACCCTCCTGCCTGCCTATCCACACACAGTAACCCTCCTGCCTGCCTATCCACACACAGTAACCCTCCTGCCTGCCTATCCACACACAGTAACCCTCCTGCCTGCCTATCCACACACAGTAACCCTCCTGCCTGCCTATCCACACACAGTAACCCTCCTGCCTGCCTATCCACACACAGTAACCCTCCTGCCTGCCTATCCACACACAGTAACCCTCCTGCCTGCCTATCCACACACAGTAACCCTCCTGCCTGCCTCCTGCCTGCCTCCACACACAGTAACCCTCCTGCCTGCCTATCCACACACAGTAACCCTCCTGCCTGCCTATCCACACACAGTAACCCTCCTGCCTGCCTATCCACACACAAAAAATGTAATCAGAAAGTAACATAATTATTGTATTCTTAATTTTCTTGCATTTTATGTCAATATGAAACATTAAAAACCTCATTAACTCCACTCTAATACTTGGTCCACATAAAGCTTTAAGAGTGTCTCTAATCCAGTTTACAAGAACAACTTTCTGCTTACAGAAATAAAATATATGCATATTATTCTCAATTTCAGTACATTGGTCACACCTATTGTTGGGGTGGAGGCCTAGTCGAGGACCGGGCCGCGGGGACACTAAAGCCCCGAAATCATCTCAAGATAACCTCAAGATCAACATGCTGCCGCCGCCTCCCCGCGTCACGCAGACCAGGCCCAATATAGCCAAAACGGCTTCACAATAGAAAACATTAATTGGATTAATTCTACAAATTAGTAAGATTAATAATTACTGTGGTTAATACAGCAATGATGTATTATTATACAAAAATGATGTATTAGTGTTGGATAATTTCCAACAGAGAGAGAGAGAGAGAGAGAGAGAGAGAGAGAGAGAGAGAGAGAGAGAGAGAGAGAGAGAGAGAGAGAGAGAGAGAGAGAGAGAGAGAGGGGGGGGGGGGGGAGAGAGAGAGAGAGGGGGGGGGGGAAAGAGAGAGAGAGAGTGGGGGGGGGGGTATGTGAGGTAATCATCAAGATAAAGCACTAAGCCAGTACCAGTGACCCCGCAGGAAGTAAGGCCGGGGTTCGAGGTACCTAGCCCAGCGGTGAGGATAGACACAGGTGGACGAAGGCAGGTGAGGCTAGAGAAGGTACAGCAAGTAAGAGGAGAGGATAGGTGGGGTAGGGAAGGGGGAGAGAGAGGTGAGTGTGAGTGTGTCTATCCTTCGCGACGAGACACTATCCACCTGAACACCAGCTAGCCGCGCCCCGCCCTCAGCCATGTGGGTTGTGGTGGATAGGTGGAGCCGCCTCCAGCAACACCTTTTATGATCAGGACAGGTCGAGCCCCCCAGCCCCGTCTCAAGCAGGAGAACAACTCTAGAAACTGAGTCGTGTAAACCCAAGGTAAACCTGGACGTAAACCTGCCACCTCTACAAGGCAGATGTAGAGGTGAGGTAGACTGGTTGATGGGGTTCTGGGAGTTGCTCTACTCCCCAAGCCCGGCCCGAGGCCAGGCTTGACTTGTGAGAGTTTGGTCCACCAGGCTGTTGCTTGGAGCGGCCCGCAGGGCCACATACCCACCACAGCCCGGTTGGTCCGGCACTCCTTGCAAGACCTTGTCTAGTTGTCGTGTGTTCCTGTCCCTCCTCCTCCCTTCCTCTCTGTTTGGTACAACCTTCCATCTCCTTCTCTCGCTCCATCACTCTTCAGAGGAAGTCATTTGTGGTGAGTGGATGAGGCGTGTCGGAGTGTTAGTGAGAGTGAAAGTTGTGGCACTCTCACTATAACATGCTGGAGTGAACACGTGTAGTGTGGTCTGGGTGCTGGAGTGAACACGTGTAGTGTGGTCTGGGTGCTGGAGTGAACACGTGTAGTGTGGTCTGGGTGTTGGAGTGAACACGTGTAGTGTGGTCTGGGTGCTGGAGTGAACACGTGTAGTGTGGGTCTGGGTGTTGGAGTGAACACGTGTAGTGTGGTCTGGGTGCTGGAGTGAACACGTGTAGTGTGGTCTGGGTGCTGGAGTGAACACGTGTAGTGTGGTCTGGGTGCTGGAGTGAACACGTGTACTGTGGGTCTGGGTGCTGGAGTGAACACGTGTAGTGTGGGTCTGGGTGCTGGAGTGAACACGTGTTCTGTGGGTCTGGGTGCTGGAGTGAACACGTGTAGTGTGGGTCTGGGTGCTGGAGTGAACACGTGTACTGTGGGTCTGGGTGTTGGAGTGAACACGTGTACTGTGGGTCTGGGTGTTGGAGTGAACACGTGTAGTGTGGTCTGGGTGCTGGAGTGAACACGTGTAGTGTGGTCTGGGTGCTGGAGTGAACACGTGTAGTGTGGTCTGGGTGCTGGAGTGAACACGTGTACTGTGGGTCTGGGTGCTGGAGTGAACACGTGTACTGTGGGTCTGGGTGCTGGAGTGAACACGTGTACTGTGGGTCTGGGTGCTGGAGTGAACACGTGTACTGTGGGTCTGGGTGTTGGAGTGAACACGTGTAGTGTGGTCTGGGTGCTGGAGTGAACACGTGTAGTGTGGTCTGGGTGCTGGAGTGAACACGTGTAGTGTGGTCTGGGTGTTGGAGTGAACACGTGTAGTGTGGTCTGGGTGCTGGAGTGAACACGTGTAGTGTGGGTCTGGGTGTTGGAGTGAACACGTGTAGTGTGGTCTGGGTGTTGGAGTGAACACGTGTACTGTGGGTCTGGGTGCTGGAGTGAACACGTGTAGTGTGGTCTGGGTGTTGGAGTGAACACGTGTAGTGTGGTCTGGGTGTTGGAGTGAACACGTGTAGTGTGGTCTGGGTGTTGGAGTGAACACGTGTAGTGTGGTCTGGGTGTTGGAGTGAACACGTGTAGTGTGGTCTGGGTGCTGGAGTGAACACGTGTACTGTGGGTCTGGGTGCTGGAGTGAACACGTGTAGTGTGGGTCTGGGTGTTGGAGTGAACACGTGTAGTGTGGGTCTGGGTGCTGGAGTGAACACGTGTTCTGTGGGTCTGGGTGCTGGAGTGAACACGTGTACTGTGGGTCTGGGTGCTGGAGTGAACACGTGTACTGTGGGTCTGGGTGCTGGAGTGAACACGTGTAGTGTGGGTCTGGGTGTTGGAGTGAACACGTGTAGTGTGGTCTGGGTGCTGGAGTGAACACGTGTACTGTGGGTCTGGGTGCTGGAGTGAACACGTGTAGTGTGGGTCTGGGTGTTGGAGTGAACACGTGTAGTGTGGGTCTGGGTGCTGGAGTGAACACGTGTAGTGTGGTCTGGGTGTTGGAGTGAACACGTGTACTGTGGGTCTGGGTGCTGGAGTGAACACGTGTAGTGTGGGTCTGGGTGTTGGAGTGAACACGTGTAGTGTGGTCTGGGTGCTGGAGTGAACACGTGTACTGTGGGTCTGGGTGCTGGAGTGAACACGTGTAGTGTGGGTCTGGGTGTTGGAGTGAACACGTGTAGTGTGGGTCTGGGTGCTGGAGTGAACACGTGTAGTGTGGGTCTGGGTGTTGGAGTGAACACGTGTACTGTGGGTCTGGGTGTTGGAGTGAACACGTGTACTGTGGGTCTGGGTGCTGGAGTGAACACGTGTACTGTGGGTCTGGGTGCTGGAGTGAACACGTGTACTGTGGGTCTGGGTGTTGGAGTGAACACGTGTAGTGTGGTCTGGGTGTTGGAGTGAACACGTGTACTGTGGGTCTGGGTGCTGGAGTGAACACGTGTACTGTGGGTCTGGGTGCTGGAGTGAACACGTGTACTGTGGGTCTGGGTGCTGGAGTGAACACGTGTACTGTGGGTCTGGGTGTTGGAGTGAACACGTGTAGTGTGGTCTGGGTGTTGGAGTGAACACGTGTACTGTGGGTCTGGGTGCTGGAGTGAACACGTGTACTGTGGTCTGGGTGCTGGAGTGAACACGTGTACTGTGGGTCTGGGTGTTGGAGTGAACACGTGTAGTGTGGTCTGGGTGTTGGAGTGAACACGTGTAGTGTCCTTACTAAATACTGCGTGTACCGCCATGATTGGTGAAAGATGTAGAGGTTTCGTAAGGAGAGACCTCAGTGAATACAAGCCTAGCTGCTGGTGTTGTCTCGTACGCCCCACTAATGTCTCACATATTTACCCTGTACGCTACATAATGTTGTTGACGTGACATGTGTTGGTAATGTGTGTGTGTGTAAGCTTGACCTTGTCTGCCTTTCCCCCCGCAGGAGCTGGTATCGAACCCTGTGTTCATCAGGGAGGAGGCGTCCCAGTTCGACATGGTCAACGGCAAGCTGGGTGAGTACCTGCGTCCTCTCCTGTTGTCCTGGGTGTGTAACCGTCCTGGCCTGCTACAACCTGGCCTGCTACAACCTGTCCTCCTGCAACCTGTCCTGCTACAACCTGTCCTGCTACAACCTGGCCTGCTACAACCTGTCCTCCTGCAACCTGTCCTGCTACAACCTGTCCTCCTGCAACCTGTCCTGCTACAACCTGGCCTGCTACAACCTGTCCTCCTGCAACCTGTCCTGCTACAACCTGGCCTGCTACAACCTGGCCTGCTACAACCTGTCCTCCTGCAACCTGTCCTGCTACAACCTGTCCTCCTACAACCTGTCCTCCTGCAACCTGTCCTGCTACAACCTGGCCTGCTACAACCTGTCCTCCTGCAACCTGTCCTGCTACAACCTGTCCTCCTGCAACCTGTCCTGCTACAACCTGTCCTCCTGCAACCTGTCCTGCTACAACCTGTCCTGCTACAACCTGGCCTGCTACAACCTGTCCTCCTGCAACCTGTCCTGCTACAACCTGTCCTGCTACAACCTGTCCTGCTACAACCTGTCCTACAACCTGTCCTCCTGCAACCTGTCCTCCTGCAACCTGTCCTCCTGCAACCTGGCCTGCTACAACCTGTCCTGCTACAACCTGTCCTCCTACAACCTGTCCTCCTGCAACCTGTCCTCCTGCAACCTGGCCTGCTACAACCTGTCCTCCTGCAACCTGTCCTCCTGCAACCTGTCCTCCTGCAACCTGTCCTCCTACAACCTGTCCTGCTACAACCTGTCCTGCTACAACCTGTCCTCCTACAACCTGTCCTCCTGCAACCTGTCCTCCTGCAACCTGTCCTCCTACAACCTGGCCTGCTACAACCTGGCCTGCTACAACCTGTCCTCCTGCAACCTGTCCTCCTACAACCTGGCCTGCTACAACCTGGCCTGCTACAACCTGTCCTCCTGCAACCTGTCCTCCTACAACCTGTCCTCCTGCAACCTGTCCTCCTGCAACCTGTCCTCCTGCAATCTGTCCTCCTGCAACCTGGCCTGCTACAACCTGTCCTCCTGCAACCTGTCCTCCTACAACCTGTCCTCCTGCAACCTGTCCTCCTGCAACCTGTCCTCCTACAACCTGTCCTCCTGCAACCTGTCCTCCTGCAACCTGTCCTCCTGCAACCTGTCCTCCTGCAACCTGGCCTGCTACAACCTGTCCTCCTGCAACCTGTCCTCCTGCAATCTGTCCTCCTACAACCTGGCCTGCTACAACCTGGCCTGCTACAACCTGTCCTCCTGCAACCTGTCCTCCTACAACCTGTCCTCCTGCAACCTGTCCTCCTGCAACCTGGCCTGCTACAACCTGTCCTGCTACAACCTGGCCTGCTACAACCTGGCCTGCTACAACCTGTCCTCCTGCAACCTGTCCTCCTGCAACCTGTCCTCCTGCAACCTGGCCTGCTACAACCTGGCCTGCTACAACCTGTCCTGCTACAACCTGTCCTGCTACAACCTGGCCTGCTACAACCTGGCCTGCTACAACCTGGCCTGCTACAACCTGTCCTGCTACAACCTGGCCTGCTACAACCTGGCCTGCTACAACCTGTCCTCCTGCAACCTGTCCTCCTGCAACCTGTCCTCCTGCAATCTGTCCTCCTACAACCTGGCCTGCTACAACCTGGCCTGCTACAACCTGTCCTCCTGCAACCTGTCCTCCTGCAACCTGTCCTCCTGCAACCTGTCCTCCTACAACCTGTCCTCCTGCAACCTGTCCTCCTGCAACCTGTCCTCCTGCAATCTGTCCTCCTGCAACCTGGCCTGCTACAACCTGTCCTCCTGCAACCTGTCCTCCTACAACCTGTCCTCCTGCAACCTGTCCTCCTGCAACCTGTCCTCCTACAACCTGTCCTCCTGCAACCTGTCCTCCTGCAACCTGTCCTCCTGCAACCTGTCCTCCTGCAACCTGGCCTGCTACAACCTGTCCTCCTGCAACCTGTCCTCCTGCAAACTGTCCTCCTACAACCTGGCCTGCTACAACCTGGCCTGCTACAACCTGTCCTCCTGCAACCTGTCCTCCTACAACCTGTCCTCCTGCAACCTGTCCTCCTGCAACCTGGCCTGCTACAACCTGTCCTGCTACAACCTGGCCTGCTACAACCTGGCCTGCTACAACCTGTCCTCCTGCAACCTGTCCTCCTGCAACCTGTCCTCCTGCAACCTGGCCTGCTACAACCTGGCCTGCTACAACCTGTCCTGCTACAACCTGTCCTGCTACAACCTGTCCTGCTACAACCTGTCCTGCTACAACCTGTCCTGCTACAACCTGTCCTCCTGCAACCTGTCCTGCTACAACCTGTCCTGCTACAACCTGGCCTGCTACAACCTGGCCTGCTACAACCTGTCCTCCTGCAACCCGTCCTGCTACAACCTGTCCTCCTGCAACCTGTCCTGCTACAACCTGGCCTGCTACAACCTGTCCTCCTGCAACCTGTCCTCCTACAACCTGTCCTCCTACAACCTGTCCTCCTACAACCTGTCCTCCTACAACCTGTCCTCCTGCAACCTGTCCTGCTACAACCTGGCCTGCTACAACCTGTCCTGCTACAACCTGTCCTGCTACAACCTGTCCTGCTACAACCTGTCCTGCTACAACCTGTCCTGCTACAACCTGTCCTCCTGCAACCTGTCCTCCCACAACCTGTCCTCCTACAACCTGTCCTGCTACAACCTGTCCTCCTGCAACCTGTCCTCCTACAACCTGTCCTCCTGCAACCTGTCCTCCTACAACCTGTCCTCCTGCAACCTGTCCTGCTACAACCTGGCCTGCTACAACCTGTCCTGCTACAACCTGTCCTGCTACAACCCGTCCTCCTGCAACCTGTCCTGCTACAACCTGGCCTGCTACAATCTGTCCTGCTACAACCTGTCCTCCTGCAACCTGTCCTGCTACAACCTGTCCTCCTACAACCTGTCCTGCTACAACCTGTCCTCCTGCAACCTGTCCTGCTACAACCTGTCCTGCTACAACCTGTCCTGCTACAATCTGTCCTGCTACAACCTGTCCTCCTGCAACCTGTCCTGCTACAACCTGTCCTCCTACAACCTGTCCTGCTACAACCTGTCCTGCTACAACCTGTCCTGCTACAACCTGTCCTGCTACAACCTGTCCTGCTACAACCTGTCCTCCTGCAACCTGTCCTGCTACAACCTGTCCTCCTGCAACCTGTCCTGCTACAACCTGTCCTCCTGCAACCTGTCCTGCTACAACCTGTCCTCCTACAACCTGTCCTCCTACAACCTGTCCTCCTACAACCTGTCCTGCTACAACCTGTCCTGCTACAACCTGTCCTGCTACAACCTGTCCTGCTACAACCTGTCCTGCTACAACCTGTCCTGCTACAACCTGTCCTGCTACAACCTGTCCTCCTGCAACCTGTCCTGCTACAACCTGGCCTGCTACAACCTGGCCTGCTACAACCTGTCCTGCTACAACCTGTCCTGCTACAACCTGTCCTGCTACAACCTGTCCTCTTACAACCTGTCCTCCTACAACCTGTCCTGCTACAACCTGTCCTGCTACAACCTGTCCTGCTACAACCTGTCCTGCTACAACCTGTCCTGCTACAACCTGTCCTGCTACAACCTGTCCTGCTACAACCTGGCCTGCTACAACCTGTCCTCCTACAACCTGTCCTCCTGCAACCTGGCATGCTACAACCTGTCCTGCTACAACCTGTCCTGCTACAACCTGTCCTGCTACAACCTGTCCTCCTACAACCTGTCCTCCTGCAACCTGACCTCCGGCAACCTGTCCTCCTACAACCTGTCCTCCTACAACCTGTCCTGCTACAACCTGTCCTGCTACAACCTGTCCTCCTACAACCTGTCCTCCTACAACCTGTCCTCCTTCAACCTGTCCTACAACCTGTCCTCCTGCAACCTGTCCTCCTACAACCTGTCCTCCTGCAACCTGTCCTCCTACAACCTGTCCTCCTACAACCTGTCCTACAACCTGTCCTCCTGCAACCTGTCCTCCTACAACCTGTCCTCCTACAACCTGTCCTCCTACAACCTGTCCTCCTACAAGGTTTCTATGTGATTCTCGTCTTTTTACCAGCGTCTCATATGGCGCCGATGTTACCATGTTTGTGTGTGCCGCTGGCATGAGTATGGAACTATATCTACTGCCAGATTTCTCTCATTGCCTTCCCCCTTATGGTGAAGATGCCTACTGGAACCACTGGAACATTATCTAACACAGTGCACAGTTACAACCACAACAGACCACTGGAACATTATCTAACACAGTGCACAGTTACAACCACAACAGACCACTGGAACATTATCTAACACAGTGCACAGTTACAACCACAACAGACCACTGGAACATTATCTAACACAGTGCACAGTTATAAACCCATTAAGATTTCAACTTAGATTCAACAGAGCATTAGTTGTTAAACATGTAGGACAAAATCTTACTGAAGCGACCATACGAGTCATAAATACTCATACTCCGCCCAAGTACAACAGAAAGAAGCAACACTTAGTGGGCCAGCCAGAGGCTTAGGGCCCGCCCAGTGGACCAGCCAGAGGCTTAGGGCCCGCGCAGTGGGCCAGCCAGAGGCTTAGGGCCCGCCCAGTGGACCAGCCAGAGGCTTAGGGCCCGCACAGTGGGCCAGCCAGAGGCTTAGGGCCCGCCCAGTGGACCAGCCAGAGGCTTAGGGCCCGCGCAGTGGACCAGCCAGAGGCTTAGGGCCCGCACAGTGGACCAGCCAGAGGCTTAGGGCCCGCACAGTGGGCCAGCCAGAGGCTTAGGGCCCGCACAGTGGGCCAGCCAGAGGCTTAGGGCCCGCACAGTGGGCCAGCCAGAGGCTTAGGGCCCGCCCAGTGGGCCAGCCAGAGGCTTAGGGCCCGCACAGTGGACCAGCCAGAGGCTTAGGGCCCGCACAGTGGGCCAGCCAGAGGCTTAGGGCCCGCACAGTGGGCCAGCCAGAGGCTTAGGGCCCGCACAGTGGGCCAGCCAGAGGC